AAAATATTTTTTTTTGGTATTTATTTGGTTGGTTTTCTTGTTGTTTTTTATAAATTGTATTTTGTTGCTGCAGCTGCTGCTATTTTCGTTAAGTTGGGAGTTTTGCATTTGTTGTAGTATTTAAAACATATATGTATGTATGTATAATGTTTTTTGTTTTGTTAATATTTGTACAGCCGTTGCGATGCGGAGGTAATTGTTGTTGTTGTTGCTTTGTCGCACTGTTTTCTGCAAGTGTACAATAGCTGTGTTGTTGTTGCTGCTGCTGCTCCTGTTACACTAGCTCATTGTGAACTCTAAGCAAACACAAAAAAAAGAAAGAAAAAACTTGTTCTTTTAAACTATGTTTTTGCTTAAGCAAAAAAAATGAAACATACACAAAATTCACATAAAAAATCGCGCACTTTGCGCTCGGTTTAAGTTGTTATTGTTTGTCTTGCTTAGCTTTGTCTAAAAGCATTTAAATAGATTTTTAATTTATTTTAAATTACACTTATGTTTTTTTCGTTTTTAACTATTTTTTTATGACTTTATTTAAATTTTGGGTCGCATTTGATTTTGTTTTCGCATTTTTTGTTGTTGTTGCTAATTAAAAAAAAAAAAATATTTAAACATATAGCTAATCATTTTGTTTTTGTTTCTTTGTTTCTGCCTGTGTGTTGTCACCTGTTGCTGTTGTTCTTATTGTTGTTGCTGCCGTTTCAAGTAACAACAACACATAAACAAAAATTAAGAGCTTTAGTCAAATGGAAACCGGTCGAAGCTGCGTCTTCGCTTGTTCATTTAGCACGAAAGCTTGAAAACTGCCCGAGAGAGGGAGAGAGCGGATGGGTGGGTGGTTGGTTGGTCGGCCGGTCGGTCGGTCGGTCGGTCGGTCGGTCGGTCGTTCGGTCGTTCGGTCAGACGGCCGGTCGGCTGAGCGAGCGTATAAGATAGACTGCAAATGGGAATGGAGCAAGAGGATGGAAGAGAGTGGACGGTGTTCTGTCTCAAAGCTTTCGACTTCGAGTTTGACTTCGAAATTTATGAACTTAAGCAGACATTTTTAGAAAGCACATGCATTTCCATGTGTGTATGTGTGTGTGTGTGTGTGTGCTCGAGTATGCCGCTCAAATCAAGTAAGAAAAGTATAAGAGCATAAAACATGAATTGCTACAATGCGTGTGTCTTGTTGCTCATTCTTGTTGCTGTTGCTCGCACACCCCAAAAGAAGGCGGAGACGACAAAAAGCTCACACGCACACCCATACCACGGCTCACGCACAACAGGGACATGAAATATAGATGTCTACGCAAGCCAGGGGTGGGCTTGGGCTGGATAAACAACTAAGACCGTGAAACTGCGGACGAATTTCTAGTACACATTGCAAAATAAACACGCAAAAGAAAATTAATGAGCAGCAGCGGTAGTAGCAATAACAGCAGAGGAACAAGCAGCGACGGCGGCAGCGGTGGCAGCGCCAACAGTCACAGTGACAGTGACACTGGCCTGGGTCAATCACCTGGGTCGCAGTCGCAGTTACGAGCAATAATAGCAACAACAATAACAACGGCAAACTTAAACATTTTGTTGTTACGTGCGCTCTCCCACTCTTCGCGCTCTTTGCCCTCGCTCTCTCATCTGACTGACTGACTGACTGCCTGCCTGGCTGGTTGGCTGCTCAYTTTATTTGCATTGCGCCTGCACGAACAGCACAAAAACAAAAGCCTTCAAAACTGGCGAGCAAAAGGCACAGCAATTGCTAGACGGAGACGCAGATTATCAAAAAGAACAGCAACAATAACAGCAGCAATAACAGCAGCAGCAACAACAGCAGCAACAACAGCAGCAACAACATTAGCGCAAATCGCCGCGAGCGCAAAACAATAAATAAATTATATAATACGCTGGCTTGTTCTCGTTTATTCTCGCCGTTTGTCAGTGCGCCCAATACGGTGCTCGCTGGCTCATTCTCTTTGCCCGCCCTCTGTCCCCCTCTCACGCTCTCCTCAGTCACTCACTTTGCCTTTGCCTCTCGCCGCAACGAGCCCAAACACTCCTTTGCGCGCCGTTTGTTTACTTCTGTTTTCGTTCTAACGGTAAGGCAGTTAATTACAGAGCGCATTCAAAACTGAGCGAATTACGTATACGCCAACAGCAATAACAACAATACACATACGCACGCAGAACTATGTATGCATGGCTATGTGTGCGTAAATATGTATGTATGTATGCGTGCGTATGTGTGACGACTAGTTTATAAATAGAGCTAAAGATGTGACAATTTTTTCAGAGCGCATGATTGAATACCCAAGTATAACTGATAAATCACGCAGCTGTGAATTTGGATAGCCTTGCTGCTGCTCATCGCATACCACACACCCACGCCCACTCATACACACACACACACACACACACACAAACACTCACACACCCATTCATGGTAAAGGACAATGTGCAAGCAACGTCCTTCGAAAAATCGTTTAGAAAATTGCGCGCCGTTTTTGCTGTTCTTTTATTATTATTATTTATTTACTTTTCTTTTTTCTGTTGGTTGTCAATAGTGCTGCCTCTGTCGCTCACGCTCTTTAACTTGTATGAGCTCTCTGCTGTCGCTGCTGTCGCTGCTGCCGCGGCTGCCGCTGCTGCGACTGCCTCGACCTGGCCTAACCACTAACTGTAGCGACGACAGCGATGCCGACGGCAACATCAGGTGGTAGCTGCTGCTAGCAATTCGCCGTCGTCGTCGCCGTCGCCGTCACCGTTTTCAAACCAAAAATAGCTTTGCACTCGCACTCGCGCCACATAGAGAGCAAGAGAGTGAGATATATAAAAACACGTATGTATATATGTACATACGTACATACATACGTTGGCATGTGTATGTATGTATGTAAGTGGCTGTTATTACTCAATTTAGCACGTTCTATTACTATTCTTGTTGTTGCTGCTTTTGCTGCTACTGCAGCTACTGCATAATATTGTTTTCGTTTATTAATTGTTTACATATCTCTTGCTAGCACTTTGCCGTGCAGCTCACACTGCGTATGCGTAATCTGTGCAGCAAAGTTTAAGGGAACACTTGTTGTTGCTACTACCGCTCTCTCTCTCTCTCTCTCCCTCTCTTTCGCTCTCGTTCTCGCTGGCTCTACTGTTGTTGACTTGTAGATCAGATTGCGAAAGCTCAGTTCGTTTGAGTGATGCTGATAGCGATAATAACAGTGATGCAAACACTGCCAGCTGAGAGCACATTTCAGAGAGCAACAGCAGCAGAGAGAGAGAGAGTGAGTGAGCGCGCCGATGAGCGCATTTTGACTGAGCTTGCAGTTAAGCGCAACTCAATGCGCTTATCTGCATTTACATTTACAGCCTTTCTGCCCTGCCTGCTCTGTTCAGCCCTGCTTGGCTCTGCTCTGCTCTGCTTGGTAAGTGTTTTGAGGAGGTAAGAAATTTTGTATTGTGCTTTTGGCAGCGCTAATAGCCGCAGCAGCTGCTGCTGCCACTGCGCTGGTATTGGTTAGCACTTGCTGTATGCGTGTACAAGCTTCGCCTTATTCGCTCTCCTCTCTGTTTTGTATGCGAGACGCAAGGCGACGGTGACGACGGAGACAACGACGCGTCGCAGTTGCAGCAGCAGCAGCAGCAGCAGCAGCAGCGGCAGCGACGGCGACGGCGGCGGCAGATGCGACGTCAGCAATAATTTTGTCGTGCTCGAGGAGACAACAAATAATTTTATAAAATTTCATGTGTGTCTCTGTATGTGTGTCTGTATCAGTGTGTGTGTGTGTGTGTGGATATGTGTGTTGAATATTTTGCAACAAATTCCCAAAGTTAATTATTATGAAAATTAATAACTTTTGAAGCGTGCGCGTAGCGTCGCAGTCGCCGCTAGCTTGAAAGCTGCCGTTGCCGATACTTTGACGTGCGTTCGAATCAAAGATGTTTAGGAAGAAGAAGACGAAGCAGAAGAAGCTAAGCAGAAAGCACCATTCAAAAAAAAAAAAAAAAAAAAAAACTAGCAACAACAACGGCAAATCGAACGAAAATGAAATAAAATAAGAAATATACGAGCAACACACACACACACACACATACGCATAGCTACAAAAACGAAAAAAATAAAACCTTGAAAACAACAAAAAACAACAACAAATATAATAAAAACCGAAAAACTTTATTAGACTTTTAATGAGTGCGTTTTGTTCGTTGTTTTTTTTTTTTTTTTTT